AAAGTTAATTGTTTTAACCATCTATTATTTACGCTGGTTTTCATTGTTTAAAATAAAGAGAAAAATCAAACAGACTTGGCTTTTTGTTTTTAATAATGTGCTTTGTTTAAACTTGTGTCTTTGCTTTATTGACTTATGTTTTGATACATAATGGCTTTTCTTTTAATCATGTTTTGGGCTTTTCTTTTTATTAATTCGGTATCTGAATGCCCAGCACTAAAATTATGGATCAAAAGAAATCCAACAGTTTAAAAATCTTGCCCCATTGCGAATTTTCATCATTATCATTATGGCGAATTTATAAGAATAAATTCATAAGTTTTCATTATGTTTCTCATAATTAAAATACAATCGTACTGGTAATTAAGTTATGTTTTAAATTCATTTTCATTTGCAATAGATTTTATTTGTTTAATAAATTTATAAATTATGTTTCTCATAATTAAAATATAATCGTTCGTAAAATTTCATTGAGCAATAAGCCTAGATTTCATTTGTTTAATAAACTAATAAAAAAAAGTTCATGAGTGTGTTTTCTTTATTAAGGAACGTATCCTTTTCTCACACTTTGCATTCATTCTCACGCTAAGGCGAACCAAGCGGTCCCAACATAAGGCTATCGATTTCATAAAAACAATTGCGCATGACACTTTGACTGTCACCTCTGCCTGTTTTCTATTGGCTGATGCAGTTTAGGAGGCGCTGCATAAGTTAGCACTTATTTTAGCATTCAGTGACCCACCAAGGTTATGCCAGCGCCATCGAAAACCAATCAAGCGTGCAACCACGTTGAAGCGAAGCAGATTATGGCGATCGAACGAAAAATAAAACTGACACTTATTATAAATTACGATACACATTAAGTTGATTTGTGTAAATTTTTATTGATAATAGACTTCGACACAAAAAAATAGGTACGTACAACATAAATAATGTAAAAATAAAATAACACATGAATTTTAAAGACGTTCTCAGGTCAGTAGGCCTACACAGTACATGATGCAGTGTGGTGTACCTACGGTATCTGCTGTACCTTGCTAGGCCTAGGCTTATTATCGACTCAAGGTCGGGGAACCAAGGTAGGTAAACATGACGTTCTCTAAACCGGTCCGTCCGGAAAACCGGTCAAAGTGGACGGTCCGAAAGGTGGGTCGGTATTGGGAGACTGTATAAACGATACTCTTTCTTGTACACTGCTAACTGTTTAATGACTTGGTTCCATGTAAACTTGGAATAAAAAATAATTCTATTACTGATATTGATGTTCTTGTAGTATCATTTAAGAAAACGGTACATCAAAATATATTTTACAATTGCTCTTTCCCCTCCTAAAAAAGAGAGAGAAAATCAGATGGCATTCAGTGATACTTAGTATAAAAGTTATAGTTAGTAAGTTATTGGATACTGCATACTTTACCAAAAATACTGTATCATCTATTTAATTTTTTAAATTTTAAGTTTTTAATTGCAGTCTTATTATTAATAATATTTATTTGGACTTGAGTAAAACTTAAACAAAAACTGCTTATTAATCTCTGCGATATTGTAGTAAACAATAAACAATAGCGATTCAAATATACATTATTTACTAATAAAAAAGAGTTTTTAATCAACAAAGAATGAACAAAAATAAACATTAAACAATGATTGATAAATATTTTGTACAGTATACTGTAGGGAAGAGTACCTGTTAGTTTTATTATTGAAATAGAGGATAAATTAGTAATTGTCTCAAGTGCTATGAACTTTCAAAAATGGAAGAAAAACTCCAATGTCATAAACATTCTATCCAGTCTTAATTAACTGTATGAAAATTGGAGTTTTTTTCAACATCATGCAAAGCAATGATATCAAAAACTGCCTAATAGCTTCAACTACAGATTTGAGTATTGGATTTCAGATTGCAAAATTAAAACTTGGGGGATAAAAAAATGAATTAACACAGTAAACATTTATTTTTTTTTAAATGATCAGAGCTAAAAACCGATGGGGATGAGAAAAAAGTTTTTTTTTTTTTTGTTATTTGGCCTTATGTGGGGGTCAGTCGTTTATGCTGAATTTTTATCCATGAATGTAACAATGTAATATATTTGTATGCATACATTACTTACTGTAGATCTTGAACAATATATTTTCCCTACTGTTCTTTTATAAGTTTTATTTTATATTTTTGTCCTGCATATGATTTAAAGTGAATACTGTATACTGTGGAGTGCAGACTTGCTATACACAACTCATTAGATTGTATAGCAGTACATCATTATTCACCTCACATCTATATAGTTACTAGTGATTAGCATTATCTTTAACTTACAGCGCTTTGGGTATACGTACAAGCTAAGAACTGTTGATTATGATGCCTGTCATTTTGACAGATGGAAGTTAAGGTTGAATGGTGTTCGTGATATCGATTGGCCAAAGGATTGTTTCTGAACAGAGGGAAAAAACATGAATACTATACACTTTGGCTGTATACATTTAAATAAATGGTTTAGTAATGCTTGTCATAGGAAATAGGATTACAAGACCTTTTGGTAGAATTCTATCATGTTGATCCAAAGATTTCCTCAGCCATACTTTTATAAGCCATAAATTCTGGTAGTATTATATTGCTGTTTTGAAGATAACTAGTTTTTAGTCAGCCATCGTTTATGTTTTGTCAGTAGGCAGTAATAATTTTATGCAGATTGTGAATGTCTGTAATGACAAGTAGATAATATACCCTCTTTTGTTATGACCTTTATTTGACTTGTGATTTTAAATCCATGGCTTGCTGTTATAGTTCCACTGGCACATTCATACTAAAAGCATAGTAGCGCTTCTTCCTTCCCAACTCTTATTGGACAAATCCACCATTGTACTATTGCATCCTACACATGTCTGATGATTCAGGTGCTTTGGATGCTTCATTCATCATTTGTTGTTTCCATTTTTTACTCATAGAAAAAAGATTTAATTTTAAACAAAGTTTATGTTCCTTACATTCACCATTCCAATTACGATCGGAGGTCCGCCCGGAAAATTGCTAATATTTTCCAGTTCTTGAAAAGGTTTCCATGCGAAATGCATTGACCTGGCTTTGCCAGTTTCCTGTACACAAGCCAAACCAATTCACAATGGATAATCAATGGAAGAAACTAGGAGGTTAATGTAGTTGAAAGGCATACTAAGTAGCTACTGTAGGCTAACTGCACCTAGAGGACATGCAGCTGTGCTGAATGGAAGGCATACTCTGCTGTACATACCATGCCTTGTGATTGTGAAAGATGTACCAACAAAATTGAATTAAGATTTGTTATCTTTTCTTTAATCCTAAAACTACCAAGGGTTTTGGTAATCTTGTAAATAATTACTGCTTCCTCTGAAATAGAATAGTTGTTTTATTTAATCATTTAATAATGAAAATAGTTCTATTCTGAGTTAATTTTGTATAATAAATACATTAGTGTCTGAATCTCTTATGGTCTTTACAAGGGAAGTTTAATTAATTATGTTTGATTTAATTAAATAAGTCTTTTACTACGGGTGAGAAATTTTACAATGTTTCTTAGTTTTTAAACGATTAATCATGTTTACAGTGTTACTGATTTATGTAGGAAGAGATGCTGGGAAAAGAAAATTATTTTAATTGCTGTATCTGTGGTGTGGAATAATTATTAAGTATTGTACAAGGACAGACATTTCAGGATACTGTACTTATAAGAACTACCATTTTCAGTCATTTTTGCTTAAAATAATTTTGCATTAGTATAATAGTAGAAAGTATAATTGTGTAGTGAGTAAGCTGAAGGTTAAACAGTAGGTTATATGCCACAACTATTTACAGATTCCTACTGTATGTATTTGATGATGGTTTTTTCTTATGATTTATCTGTTGTAAGAACCAAATACTTAACAAACTAGAAGTACCAATTAATCTTTACCGGAAACCATGAAACAAACTAAATGATGGGTGAAAAGATGTCAAATCAACCTTAAAAGTAGCTCACTGAATAGACTTGTGTCTGCTTTTAAATATTACCATGTTTAATTCTCCATGTAATACTGTACAGTACAATGGTTATTTGACAAAATAGTTTGATATTGTTGTAAATGGCCTTGACTGCCTGCTGTACTGTACCTCCATGAGTTCATCATCACAATTTGCCTTTCTATTTGTTCTGTAATTTTTCTTTGTCTTCTTCTCTATGATAGGATAAGAATATTTTTGGTGGGAATCAAATCAAGGATACCGTAACCCATGAAGCCCGAAAGCTTGTTTCCAGTGGGGTCCTGGTGGTGAATTGGGTAGTACAGTATACCTAGAGACAATCCCCCTACTCTTTTCCAAATAGTGTACTGCGTACCTTAACATGCACATGGGCCATATTGCACATGGGACCAACAGATTAAATGTCTCATTAGAAAGACAGTGCACTATCGTAACTTGTAAGTCAGCCCTCCAGCTGAAACACAAGGAGAGCAGCGATGGGAATTGAACCGGGAATCTAGAAATCTCCACGGTTCAGCCGCACACACAGTGGCTAACACCAGTTTAGCCGAGTGAGCTAAGCTGTTCTCTTGGATACAGTATTCATTTGGCAGCTGATGATAATGTTCGTTTGAAATTTATGTGGGACTACAACATTTTCTTAAGCTCTGTTCACATTCTCAAGTTTTATTTGACAAAATAAAACTGTTGTATGCCCATATATAGTCATTATGTGGCTATATTAAGTATGGTCATGATATAAAGTAATGTCATCATGACCATACTTAATGAGAATACAGACAAAAAACTAAAATTGCACTTTGGCTCTTTTCAGGATACATCTTAAAATTCCTTCAAAGCAACGTTTTACCAGAAAAGTGCAATTGCATAAAAGTATGTGTCCTGCGTATAGTTCCAACTGATCATCTTTAAATAATTACTGTATGCTATATTTTTTCCAAAAACAGAAAACATGGCTCTAGCAAATCTTTCCAAAATTAATTCTGTTTTGTTTCTTTTCCTACCACAGGTAACATCCAAAAGAGTAAAAAATACATTTTCACGGGAGCCAGATGAAGACCATCGGCCTGTAAAGGACATAATGGACATTATAAACACAGATGAAGAAAATGAAGAGGGAAGCGGAGTAATTCCCATTGAGGGCAGTGGTACACCACCATCAGTCACTGGATCAGGTGACCAAGGTAATTGAATGAACTAATACATTTTTCAGTTGGTAGTTGTTGGGGTCTATGTTGGGTCCATTTACAGTGGTACTTGCACCCAGGGATGTCACCAGCTTTTTGAAGTGCCGGTCGGCGATCATTTCGCGTTTTCCCGGCGGTGGGGATTGAGCCCCCCCCCCCCCATTTTCCCAGGGGTGGGGGGGTCGCCGTATTTGTGAAAGCTCTTAAAACCAAAAGGCCTAAGAAAGTCGAGCAGGCCTAGGCCCAAGGCTAGCTGACACGATTTTTTTTTGGCTAGGCCCAGGTAGGCCTAGGCCAGAATTTGAGGAATGCAACAAAACAGATGAAGATGAGACTTACCGTAGGCCTAATTATATTAAATAGTTGACATGCTTTGTTTTAGATTAAAAAATAATAATGAACAAATCCCGGCGACAAAGCGTCGATCCAACTGTACCCAGCCGCATTGTTTGCTGTAATTTCACATGTTTGACGATTACCACGATGAATGTGTATGTCACTGATTCATGTGAAC